ATCCAGATTACATATTAAATGCTTGGTGATCAGAAGATGACATTCAAGTATGCCAGTCATTGAGATAATTTTCCATACCAGATTTACTTAGAGTGTTTCCCTGAATTAAGTCAATTATAAATTATGACAGTGTCATTAATTGTAAAATGTTTATTGGGGAATGAATACTATGAGTTAGATTGGATCTTAGACTGATCTCATAAAGCTCCTTTCATTGTCAGGTATCTTGCAGATCTCCCTTCCCCAGCAACTGTTTTTGCTGAAGGCATATATATGGTCCTAATCAGCAGTCAAGAACTTGCAGGATCAAATCCTTCATTTGCCATTCCTGAACTCATTCGTTTTGAATTTTGGTACCTTTTCATGAAGGTTGGTCCTTTGTCTAAAAAGTATCATTTTTGGTTTTTGGTCCAAAAGATGTTTTCAGAGAAGTGAAGGAAGAAGAGTAATTGTTACACACACAACAAGTGAAGACAATCTCTCTTTTCTGCTATAATATATCTGTACACTACACCAACAGTGAACTAACAATATGTCTTTCATGGTGGGTGTGAGAGTTCTCTTTTCTGTTGAGGTGTTTAGTTGTTGCCAATGTTGTTAGTCTGCTGCAACGTTTGTTCTCTGAGGCAGACCACTGTCTGCTGCTATCTTGATCCTTCATATATGCTGTGTTCATGTGTCTGTTCCTTATATGTGCTTTATGGTACAGACAAAATGTTGCAGAACTGCATGAAAGTACTTTGTAATTATATCCAGTAACACCTTTCAGCCTAAGGTCTCAAAACATTTTAAAAACTCATAAGCCTCATATAAAGCTTTTTGTCAATTTAACTATTTCGGTTATCTTTGTAATTTACTGAAAAAGTTAAATTGTTATGTCCCTTTGTGTGGATGCTTATACTGGTACACTGGTGCTTATGCTGGAATAGTTTGTTCCTCTAAATTTCACCTCTGTTGAAAAGCAACCACCTCTGGAGTTTAATACAAGCTGTCTAATAGCACACAGTAACATCTCTTCTGTTGGAGATCGAACTTCCAACAGCCCAATGAGCCTCAACGCTGTGCTGAGGCTTTGGTTCAGTACTGGCCTAGAAGGAAGACTGCTGCCTGCTAAGTTGCCACCTTCTCCTCCTGAAGCACCTATGGCATGTATTTTCTTTAGAGGCTTACAATCCTGCATAGGATGGTCTGTAACTCTAGCAGACTGAGTCAGCAAGAAAAAGTATTATTCTACTCTTCCCCCTTCCTCCCACCCCCAACTGGATAGAGCCAGTAGCTGTCTGGATAACCAACAATAATCCTTGCTATTGGATAAAGAGAAATTAGATTATTTTAAAAAACATTTTTAAAGTATTTCAAGTTTAATTAGACAACAAAAGGACAGTGATATTAGAATCACATTGTTGATACTTTTCAGAGGAACAGCCGTGTTAGTCTGTATTCGCAAAAAGAAAAGGAGTACTTGTGGCACCTTAGAGACTAACCAATTTATTTGAGCATGAGCTTTCGTGAGCTACAGCTCACTTCATCAGATGTTTACCGTGGAAACTGCAGCAGACTTTATATACACACAGAGAATATGAAACAATACCTCCTCCCACCCCACTGTCCTGCTGGTAATAGCTTATCTAAAGTGATCAACAGGTGGGCCATTTCCAGCACAAATCCAGGTTTTCTCACCCTCCACCCCCCCACACAAACTCACTCTCCTGCTGCTAATAGCTCATCTAAACTGACCACTCTCCAAGTTTAAATCCAAGTTAAACCAGAACATCTGGGGGGGGGGGGGGGAGGAAAAACAAGAGGAAACAGGCTACCTTGCATAATGACTTAGCCACTCCCAGTCTCTATTTAAGCCTAAATTAATAGTATCCAATTTGCAAATGAATTCCAATTCAGCAGTTTCTCGCTGGAGTCTGGATTTGAAGTTTTTTTTGTTTTAAGATAGCGACCTTCATGTCTGTGATTGCGTGACCAGAGAGATTGAAGTGTTCTCCGACTGGTTTATGAATGTTATAATTCTTGACATCTGATTTGTGTCCATTTATTCTTTTACGTAGAGACTGTCCAGTTTGACCAATGTACATGGCAGAGGGGCATTGCTGGCACATGATGGCATATATCACATTGGTGGATGTGCAGGTGAACGAGCCTCTGATAGTGTGGCTGATGTTATTAGGCCCTGTGATGGTGTTCCCTGAATAGATATGTGGGCACAATTGGCAACGGGCTTTGTTGCAAGGATAAGTTCCTGGGTTAGTGGTTCTGTTGTGTGGTATGTGGTTGTTGGTGAGTATTTGCTTCAGATTGCGGGGCTGTCTGTAGGCAAGGACTGGCCTGTCTCCCAAGACTTGTGAGAGTGTTGGGTCATCCTTTAGGATAGGTTGTAGATCCTTAATAATGCGTTGGAGGGGTTTTAGTTGGGGGCTGAAGGTGACCGCTAGTGGCGTACAGTTATTTTCTTTGTTAGGCCTGTCCTGTAGTAGGTAACTTCTGGGAACTCTTCTGGCTCTATCAATCTGTTTCTTTACTTCTGCAGGTGGGTATTGTAGTTGTAAGAAAGCTTGACAGAGATCTTGTAGGTGTTTGTCTCTGTCTGAGGGGTTGGAGCAAATGCGGTTGTATCGCAGAGCTTGGTTGTCTTTTGCATAGAAATACAAGGAAGATCACTAGGCAAGTGCTTTCTGAGTCTGTGTCAAGATCCACAAAATTATCTCTCTTGAATCAAAATGACATAAATGAAGGCTAAACTGCAGCCTGGTAATCACTTTCTCTTTGCATTACTAGTGGGACCATCGTTTCCTACCTACATCAGTACTATGACAATCTGTCTCTGGTGTTGTTTTTGAATGCTATGGCTGTTAACAGATAACATGCCTGCACATATGCACAGATACATACATACATATGCAAGTTTTCAAAGCTGGGTTGCATGTGAGAGAATACTGTTAGTTTTTTTTTAAATAAAACCAAATAAGAAAGAAGCAAATTGTTTAAAACAAAGCATTAATCCAAAAAGAGAGATGCTTCTAACATTTCTTTGATAGTTACACAATTGTGGATGGAAGGACTGAGTCATAAAATGAGAGTGCAATAGAAAATGATCTTGGTTTGTTTTTTTTTTTAGTTTGAGCTGCAGTGGCAGGTGTTATAAGAATGAAGATTTTTAGACTAGAGCTGTGGACAATAGCTCCCCTGTGCCAAAAACTACCTGATAATTTTATTATCTGTGATTCTTTTACAGTTTGTGAGAGGCTCTCTGATCTCCACCTCATGCACATATTCCTGAGGTGATACATGATAGTGTGTATTCAGTCTGGGTGAAAAGAGGCACGTGCTCCAAAAGATTTTATTATCTAAAGACATGGTATAACAGGTGTCTAAAATAAGCAATCAGGATGGGTGGATGAGGTAACAGTAACAGAAGCATGTTTCATCAAATGTTGGTGAACCGTTCACACACAGCTAATCAGCAGTAATAGCAACCTTCTACCTACTGAACCATTTTCAGTCAGCAGTGACTTGTAGGCATTGTCGTAGAGGTGCCTTTTTAGGAAAGATCTGAAGGAGAATAAGGAGGTAGCCGTACGGATTTTGACAAGGAATCTTTCCCTTGTGTATAGGTAAGCATAAGAGAAAGAGTGAAGGGAAGCCGATAAGCAGGTGATGAAGACTGGCATCCTTGGCAGAACAAAGGCAGGGATTTATCTCATAACAGAACAGTTAATTAGGTAGGTCTAAATTAAGAAAGGCCATTAAAAAATCAAGGAAAAGTTTGTACAGTATTTGTTGTGGTGGAGGAGGGAGAGCCAATGGAGGGACTCGAAGAGGGGAGTAATGTAGTTAGAGTGACAAGCCAGGTAGAGTATCTCAGCAAAAGTAATTTGAAAAGAGTTGCGGGGTTGCAGCAGTCAAGGCCAAAAGGAGTACGTATTCTTAAAATCCTATACTCCAAAGCAGCTGATGCAGGTAGAGTGAGAGTCTGAAAGGTTGCTGGGTTGCAGACTTACTGTAAAAAAAAAAATGGTGATCTTGCTGTGGCTGTAAGGCTTCAAGCTGGGGAGAAATGAAAAGCGATTATACTTCTGGCTTTATATCAATGAATGGGTACATTTTAAAGCCCTCTGTCATCTCAGTCACTGCAAAACGTGTTATCACTTTACACTGTGGAAAAATATATGGCCTCACTGGGGACTTGCAACACACATTTGATTCCCCCTCATGCCGTACTGTACATCATTTAAAAATGTTCATTGAGGCTTCAATCCTGCAAATGCACAGCACACAGAACTGTGATTTCTTCAGTGGGAGTTCTGCACATGATGATTTGCAATATGAGGTCCAAAATTGTCAGCACTGATAGGTCTGGTCTATTAACTCTGTTCTGATGCCAATTACAGTGCAGTACAGTAGTAGCATACCAAATTCTCATTCTAGGGCTGCTGAGCATTCAGGCTACATGGTGGGCATCAGTGAGCAGTAAGATAAATAGTGAAGTGACAGCAGGGAGTGATGGTCCTTAAGAGTGTACATTCCCTAACTGGATGCTGGTTATTTCTATTACTCCACAAAAACACAGCTGCAAAATACGTATCTGATTATAATGCAAATTAGACCTAGATGTTTTTAGGTTGTGGGAGGCATGAAGAGTTTGTTTTTGTGTGAACATGTGTGTTTGATGCCACCTAATAGCTCTCTACTCAGGTATCTTGCCCTGAGCACTCTTCATCTTTTTTTCAGGTGAGAAGTAGTAGGTTCTCAAATATTAGTTTAGGAGGGGGGAAGAAATCTTATTTTAAATATCTTTCTTTCCACTTTCTGAGGTTGGCAGTTGTAGTCTAGGTGCAGATATAAATGCACGTAAAATAAAGTACTGTAATTAACACTGCAAAATGTAAATAAATATAAAGTGCATATAATATAGTATTTAATATAAATACAACTGTTGTAATTTATCCCTGCTGGAGTGTATCATTCTGCTTATTGTGTGGTTTATTCAGTTTTGGATTTCAGTGACCCCTTCAGTACTGAAGTTAAGCCAAGAATCCTACTCATGGGACTGAGAAGAAGTGGGAAGTCTTCCATTCAGAAAGTTGTCTTTCACAAAATGTCTCCAAATGAAACCCTTTTCTTGGAGAGCACTAACAAGATCTGCAGAGAAGATGTTTCCAACAGCTCCTTTGTTAACTTTCAGATATGGGACTTTCCTGGGCAAATTGACTTCTTTGACCCTACATTTGACTATGAGATGATTTTCAGAGGCACTGGAGCACTGATATTTGTCATAGATTCTCAGGTAAAGAGAAAGTTATAAGGGTGGTATTCAGGTCACCTGTTTGTCTTCGTTGTTTTTCTCCTCCAGCTATAAGCAAATGGAATGGCAAACATGGAGACAGTCAAATTTTCAAAAGCACGTAAGGGACTTAGAGCCGAAGTCCTGTTGACTTTTAATGGGACTTAAGTGCTTTTGAAGACTATAACCACCAATTACAATTAAGTTGATAGAGTTGGTTTATTTTTTAACCTCTTTTTTGCAAATAAAGATTCAAAACCTAGTTTAGTTTTTATTTTAAATGCAAAAATAACTAGTCTGCTTTAAAGTCTCTGGTTCCTTTCATGGAGTTGCTAGTGACGGCAATTGGACTTTGTGCAGATATAGGCCTTTATGATCCCAGAAGTTTAAAACAAAGGAATTTTGAACTGTAGAAGTGTCTGCAAGTATCTTATAAAATTTAGCTTTTGTCTCATAACTGTTTGTCGTAAGGTTGTGGGTTTTATTTTTCCATTATTAGGATGATTATATGGAGGCCTTGGCTAGGTTGCATCTCACTGTGACCAGAGCTTATAAAGTGAATCCAGACATCAACTTTGAAATCTTTATTCATAAAGTGGATGGTTTGTCTGATGATCACAAGATTGAAACCCAAAGAGACATTCACCAGAGGGCAAATGATGACCTTGCAGATGCTGGATTAGAGAAAATTCACCTCAGGTGAGTGAAGCAACTGTGCACAGAGTCTGCTGGAAAAGAATAAAAGCCATGTTTATTGCTAAAGCCAGAACCCAGAGCAACCTATCTTATAGACAGTTTATCACTTTCTAATCTATTGAAGTAGCAGGCAACAAGAATTTATTAGATATGACTATTAAGGGAAAAGGTAATGCCTTTGACTAAATTATTCAGTCTGTAGAAAGAACAACAGGTTATTTTAGCAAATAATTGAAAATAATGCACTTCAACAAACTGGGAGCTACAGGACATTAAAAACTTTAATGCTGTTCTTGGGACTTGTGAAATAAGAAATGCCATCATAATGCATATAGTGCTTCACAAACATGTTAATTCATAGAGTAGCTAATCACTTTGGTGGCATTTTTTCATTGTTAATTTCATCCCTACTATTTTCAAGATGTAAAGCAATACATAAAAGCTATGTAATATTGCTCTCCTGGTATACAGAAAATGTTTTCCAGAGGATATTGAAGTGAGAACTACATCATTAAACTCCAGATATAGCACAGATTTGCAGTATCTATGGTTTTATGTATTCATATTGTATACTGTCATGCTAAATATAGCCTTGAAAATATATGTAATTGTTTTAATTATTGACTTCAGTTTGTTGAAGAGCTGTGTTTTAGAAACATTATGCAACTTCTGATCACAAGGGAAAAATGTATAACTTCAAGTACTTTGTGTTTCAAAATATTTTACACGCTCATTATGACAGATTCAGAATGTTCCTTTTATATGGCTAAAAGGAAAATATGGTGACATTTTTTCCAGCTTTTATCTGACAAGCATATATGATCATTCTATATTTGAAGCCTTTAGCAAAGTGGTACAGAAACTGATTCCACAGCTCCCAACCCTGGAAAACCTCCTTAACATCTTTATCTCAGTAAGTACTTTTGTGTACTTTCTAGATTTTTGCATAGAACTGATTGAGTACAAGAAAACTTGTGATTTATTCTGTAACAATTGAATCCTAAAAACTGCTATGTGCCTTTTTGAAAGATGCTGTGCACACCCAGTTTCAAGTGAAGTTAGTAGGAGCTGAGGGTTTCTACCTCATGAAGGATTTGCACCCAAATGCCTGCAAGATTTACAGAACAATGTAGCTGCATTTTTTCTAAACTGAAAATATTTTGAGATCGTCAAATTATTTTTCAAGGTTAGATGGTGCATAGAGTGAGCTGACAGTCATCCCTCATCTGTTTAGACATTGGTTTGAATGTGACCTAGGTCTGTGTGGTATGGCTTCTGTCTGTTTGTTTTTAAACAGCACTTGACATTTTCATAAATTATAAGGCCAGAAGGGATCCTTGTGATCATCTAGTCTCACCCATTCCCAATCTCCCATTATCATAGACAGTGATTGAAAAGGTGGTGGTAGTTCAGTTCTGGAGGCACTTGGACAACAGTACTAAGATACCGTACTGAGCATTATACAAGATCTGAGACAGACAGATAGCCGTATAGCAGTATCCTGGATAGGTTCCCATTTGGGTGACAGCCTTCACTGATGTTGACAACATGCCAGTCATTAAGAATCAGGGTCATAAATAATCTTATGTTGGGATCAGCTGCCCGTTCTGGAACTAGCAGAGGGTTTGTGCTGAACCATTCTGCAGCTCTTGAGATGATTGACCATAGGCTGTTTCTTCAGTGATGGAGGGATGTTCTGGTGTGTCTGGAGATGCCCTGTAGGTGTTTTCAGTTATGCCTAGAATGCAGGAATCAGTTGATAGTGATGAACAGTTCTCTATCAAGTCCTTGAAAAATGGTGTCCTTGAAGGATCTGTACTGAGCCTCCCATGTTGCGCAGGGTATATCTTGCCAAGGAGGCTTGTCCAATTCGTAAACACAGGGTAAAGTATAATCAGTAAACAGTGACATACAACTGCCTCTCTTTTGCCTTTTGTACCTGGCTAGCTCTGCAACATATGAACAACACTGTAGGTGTGATGGCTGAGAACTATCTTATCTTCAGTGTTGGGAAAATCAAATTCTTACTCCTGGGTAGAGGTAAACAGATCACAAAATTAAGAGGCTTGTTCTTCCTTCACTTCAGATATAATAAATCAGATTAAGAATCTTGATATCAGTTTTGATCAGGCTTTTTCCATGGGAAGCCATGTGTTGGAGATGAAGGGTGTTTTTTCAGCTGAGCAATATGCACAGGTTATGTTTTCACTTATCCCACTAAGACCTTCCAACAGCAATAGTGATCTATTGTAATGATTCTGGGGGTGGAGTAGTTGTAGCAAAGTTTCTCTGTCACTGGGAACTCTTTCAGAATGCAGTAATATATTTGCAATCATGATCATAGTATGCCTGACCTGTAGTCTTTATAGACTACCTACTGCTTTCCAGGCAGCCAAAATAAACTAGCACTGTTGGTCCTTAACTGTGTAGGCCTTTGCTACATACAAATCCTTCCTTTTGAGCCTCAGTCAGAGGAATGTTTGTTGTTTGGTTTGGTTTTTAGCAGGATTTTGTTTATTTTTTATCAGAGTATCCCCTAGGATATAGAATTTGTTTGGTCCAGGGGAGATAAAAATCAATAACTTTTTGAATTAAAATCAAACTAAAGCTTACTTTTGTTTTTTAAATCTGACACTCTCTTAAAAAAACTGAAATTGGATTTACAACAATCTATCTAAAGGGTTCAGTTCAAAATCAGTTTAATACTATGGAATGGATCAATATGTGACAAAAAATGCAAAATACTAGAAATCATTATGTGTCCTGTACACTGTATAGCTTATTGAATAAAAATCCTAAATACAGCTGGATGAAAACGTTACAGGCCTGACTGTGGAATGACTTCTGATATTCCTTAAAACTCCATATATATTTAGGGACAAATCCTGGCCCCCTTCACTTTGAGGATAGACACACAGTTTGTTTCTGTTCCTTAATTAGATAAATGTCATACATCATAGCTATCCCATCACTAAGCAACACAGCTTGAATTTCAGATATTGAATATCTCTAATCAATCCACAGAGTAAAGAAATGTGTCAGACATATTTGATTACTGAGGAAATGGTTATTTGTTTTGTTTTTCGTTTTTTGCTTGCAGATATTTAGCAAGAGAAAGACGCTAAATGAATGAGAAATTATTCATTATGAATTACTCAGCTATATTGAGAACTCTTGGGAAAATCTCAGTCCCAGAGCATTCTAAGGGGCAGTTACTGCAAACACTCACTACTGGACGTAATCCATGTGAGTAGTCCCATTGAAGACAATGGGACTATTACCAGACATAGTGCTTGGTAGGCATTTTGGAGCATGGAGTACGTCTTCCCTTTATGGAGAACACTTAGCATGTTTTAGATTTTAATACAATCTAAGTAATAAGCAATTTTTAGGGTTGTGTCCCAAGTTACTTGTGAATGCTTAGATCCTTAGTCTGCTGCTGTTGAAGTCAAAGGCAAATTTCCATTGAGTAAAACAAAAAGTGGGAGCAGGTATTTGCTTTTGTTCTGTTTTATGGCATCCTGAACACTTGGGAGGAAGTAACAACAAAACCTATGTTTTAAATAGCATAATCCTTCATGTGACGGGAATGTACTGGCAATGTCTTTTTAACTTTCAAGCAGTGAAATACTTTGTTGATTGTAAAATTATAAACACAAAACATTAATTTCTAACATACCAAGTTCAGTGGTTTTGTTTCATTCTCACAACCTAACTTACATATCCTATATATATGTACTATATACGGATGAATATAGTAAGATGAGTAAAATTATCAAGTGCCTAAGTGCAATTTCCAAAAGTAACGTAGGGTATGTGTGCAGCACAACTAAACACCTATAGCTGGCCTGTACCAGCCAACTCGGGCTCGCAGGGCTTGCGCTGCATGGGGCTGTTTCACTGCTGTGTGGACATCTGGACTCAGGCAGGAGCCTAGGCTATAGGACCCTGCAAAGTGAAAGGGTCCCAGAGCTCAGGCGTCAGCCCAAGCACAGAAGTCTACACAGCAATGAAACAGCCCCGCAGCCCAAGTCTCGCGATGTTCACAAACCTGACTTGGCTGGCACAGGCCAGCTTCAGGTTTTTTTTCCCCTGTGTAAACGTACCCCTAGGCACTTGGTAGCCTACATCTCATTGGATGTGAATGAGATTTAGACCCCTAAGCCAATTACGCACTTTTCAAAATTTTATCTGATATCTATGAAAATTAAAAGTAAATATTCTCCATTTTTACAAGAATTAATTTTGTTAAACCAGGTGTCTGCATAAAGAGACGTACATTTTACTAAGCCAAAGATTTAGCTTGGTGGATTGGGAATATTTCACTTTAAAATACATCAAACAGTTACATGTTGTTGGCTCTAACACCTGCTGATGAAAGTGAAGTTTTCGTTAGGAAACTTTAAAGATAAAGTTGATTTTTAAATTAAGCTTCTCTACAATAGATTTAAACTGGTGATTTTAATTGCCTTAGTTTAAATCGATTCTCTCTAGTTTCACCTCCTTTAAATCCAGGGCAGCTGGATATTACCTCTTCCTTCCATTTCTTTTTCCTACTTATGTATTATCACTCTCTCAGATTTGTTTAATATGTTTACTTTTAATGTGTGTTTACATTTTTGGATATATTAGAAACTATTTTTATGTTGTACAGCACCTTTCTTATCTGTGAAGTGTTGTGGGGTACTCTGAAAACAATAAAAGACACCTTATTTAGAAGTGGGCCCAAACTAGAATCACAGGTGCACATCCCTGAAACTTCAGTGCTGATTTTTTTTGAGGTAAAACAAACTTGACTCGCTTTCTTAAAAGCAAAACAGTATATAAGGCACAATCCCATCAAAGTCTGTTAGGGTATTGTCAGTGTTTTCAACAAGGGCAAGTTTGAGCCAATGATATTTCAATCATTCTTCATACACTTTCCTAAAAAGTAACATAATGCTGATATTCTATGCACTTCCTATTATTATTACTGGAATATTTTAGGGTATTGACTTGTTACTATATCTTACCTGACTAACTAACAATATATAATGATATTGATCCTTCTTGTTTCATATTTTCAGACTTCTTTTTCTGTGTATGTGTATGTGTACCCTTTTTTGTACTGTCGCTAATTTTATCTGAGCAATTTCTTCTTTCCTTCTGAATTCTCTCATCAACCCTCTCCTTTCTCCACTAAAGGTATACTATGTTGATTATGCCCTCTTAGATTATAAAACTCTGATTTTACATTTATCTTTACTCTTCTTTACTCTGTATTTCTCACACTTGGAAATACAAAATAGAGTAGTCATTTTAATTCTTTTTACAGAACTTTTCTATTCAGTTTCATATTCAACTCATGTATGAAACTACAATATTTGAGTTTCAAACACTGCAGGAGACTAAAATAATAGGGGATTTAAATAATTTAAATTGAAATTAAAATCTTGTGTTTTTGTAAAACCTGAATTTTTAGATGAATTTTGACATCTGCTGAAGTACATGAGGAATTTTTGTGTTAAAATGAATCTTTTTTTCTCTTTTTAAATTGTACAGATGCCATTTTGGTCAGATGTGACAATCAAATATTATTTTTTTGTTCTTGGGTTTTGAGGAATTGTAAGATATCCAGAGTGTGTAGTCTGTAAATTTCAATATACTAGAAAGTGTTATTAAGAACAATCTATGGTGTATGTTTTCCAATTGAAATAAAAGAAATTCAAGCCCATGACACCTATTATTACTGATGGGAGTTCCCAGGATTAGTCCCCTTTGTATTGATGGATGAATTTAGGTCCTTTAAAATTAAGCTGCCCAAAATGTTATGGGCTACTGTGCTGAACAATACCCCGAGCTGAAATCCCTTAATTCCTGGAAATGGGTGAAAGGTAGCAGGAAAGTCACTTTAATCTATAAATATTTGTTAAATAGTTCTTTTGAAAGAAAACAGGACTGAGTGAAATGATTGTTAACTGAGTTTGTCTGAACTATCAAAACTGTTTATCAGAGGTTTTCAAGGCTTCTGATGGAATTATGGAATTGCTGTAGCAACAGTTCAGACCTGTATTAGGCAGCACCCATAAATGGACTTTCTTCTTATCTGAAACTTACTTTGATTGGCAAGTTTGGAAAAGTTGCCTCTCCTTCTGGATGTTTCTTTTCTGGGGAGCACTTGGCAATTTTGTCATGATCCCCACTGAGAATTTTCCCTTTGTTTCAGCCGCTGGTGCAAATCTTTATTGTTAACACTATGTTTTAGTCATGGGTATTTTCAGTAAAAGTCATGGACAGGTCATGGGCAGCACACAAAAATTCACGGCCAGTGACCTGTCCATGACTTTTACTACATACCCCTAACTAAAACTTGGGCTGGAATGCCGCCGGTGCTCTGGGGAGTGTGTGTGAGGGGGTGATCTTGGGGCCCTGCAGGTGCTGGGGGTGTGTGGCCAAGGATCCCCGCTGGTGCTGGAGCATAGTGGGTGGGCTGCGGCATGCAGCTGGGACCCTCACTGGTGCTGGGAGGAGGGGGTGGTGCTGGTGGGGGAGGGGATTGGTGGGTCTCACAAGCTCCCTACTGGGCTCCGCATGTCTGCATAGCTCCAGTCAGGAGGGCTCCTCGTGCTGCTCCTGCCACAAGCACTGGCTCCTCAGGCGCAGCTCCCATTGGCCTTAATCCTGACTGTGGGGGCGCCTCTATGCGTTACCATACTATAAATATGAAACTGCTTTAATGTATGGTTAATATGATTGCATATTAATTTTCACTTGTACTTGCTGTCTGTGTGGTAGGGGTGGGGTATACAAGCTTGGTATTATTTGAAGAGACGTATACCTTGAAAGGATTTTTTTCTTTGTTTCTAGAATTCTGGGATTGAGAAAGCATTTCTGTTTGATGTAGTCAGTAAAATTTATATTGCAACGGACAGTACTCCAGTGGATATGCAAACTTATGAGCTCTGCTGTGATATGATAGATGTTGTTATCGATATTTCTTGTATCTATGGGTAAGTAGATTGTTGTTAATCATGCTCGTTAATCTTGTTTGGCCACCTTGTTAGGCTAGAATACATAATATGGTAACTAAAAACTGACTGTCGTACAGATTGGAATGACTTCGAAACATTGCAGATTTACAGGCAACACAGTACTTACTGTATGTCGCAGTGAATGGGAAATCGCCTAAAGTATCCCAAATACCTGTAATCCCACAGAGACTTTAAATATGCTATGATAATAGCTAGAGCCTTACCTAATACACCATCCATTTTGGTCAATTTCATGGTCGTAGGATTTTAAAAATTATCAATTTCATGGTTTCGGATATTTATATCTGAAATTTCATTGTGTTATAAGCATGAGGTCCCAACCCAAAAGAGGGTTGAGGGGAGGTCTCAAGGCTATTGTAGGGGTGTTGTGGTGTTGCCACCCTTACTTCTGCGCTGCTGCTGATGGAGGTGCTGCCTTCAGAGCTGGGCAGCCGGAGAGCAGCGGGCAGCACAGACATGGGAGTTGCTTGATGTGTGCGGGGTCATCACTTTTTTGTGGGGGAGAAATGGCTGGCCTTATGGGTGGGTGACCGCCTCTGGCCCCGTAGTCAGGGGGTGCTGTGGGTCCCCCCCTTGCCAGCCCAAGGGCCCTTTAACCCTTGAGCGCTGGGGAGGGGCAGGTCTGGGGACAAGGTTCCAAAACCTTTGTAGAAGTGGGTGTCCACCAGTACCAGGCAGGCTGGGGGCAAGGATGTTGTTGCGCCTCTAAACTGCAAGCCTCGGGCAGACACGGATCAGCACTGGCAGTTCCCCCTCTGTGAAGCGCAGTCCCAGCTGGCACCACTTCAGGCCTGCCTGAGGCTTGCAGTTTGGGGCGGACAGTATCACCCCCAAACTATGCCCATGTTAAAAGTGGTGGGGCATGGCGCCCTGGTTCTGGTGCAGTTGGCTGGGGGCACCCCAGCCGGAGGCTCCTACCATGCGCCAGGCTCCAGCTGCTAGTCCTGGCTGGGCTGGGGAGGGACAGGACTTCCGCTTCTCTTGCAGGAGCCACTCCTGGCACCAGGTCAGATCCGCTTCCGGGACACTGCCTGGCTGCAAGAAGCTCTGCTCCTGCTCTCTGTAAAGTGACCCCTCCCTCTGTGGCTGGGGAGCAATGGGGGCAGGAAGCGGGGTGGGGGCGCAGAGCTTCCGGCAGCCAGGGAAGGTTCCCAGCGGTGCGTCTGACCTGGCCCTGGGAGTGGCCTCTGCAGAAGAAGAGGAAGTCCTGTCCCTCCCCAGACCCGCCAGGACTGGCAGCTGGAGACTGGCGCATGGTAGGAGCCCTGGCTGGGGGACCCCCAACTCTGCCCTTCCCTGTCAGATTTCACAGGGGAGGCAAGATTTCATGGTCTGGGATGTGTTTTTCATTGTCATGAATTTGTTAGAGCCCTAATAATAGCCATTAACATAGAAATGGGGAGGGGAGGGGACCATTCTTTTAAAATGACATTCTTTTGTGAATCTCACTGTTGAATTTCACACACAAATGCTTGCCATTTTGTTTTAAAGTGCAGCTTCCATTACTATTCTTGTTTAGTTTGCCACCAAATGGTACTTGAGCATATGCTACTCCTTGCCTCCTTCCTCCTCGTACTCTTGTTCCCAGCTATCTTGACTTTCATTTTCCCATCCCCTTCCATTAGCAATCTTACACTTCACTGCTGTAACTGTAAATCTTCTAAGGTATCTGTTATAGCTTGATCCTGAGATATGTGGAACATCCACTGTTCCCACTGAAGTCAGGATCATAGTGAGGTAGAAATAGAGCATCCTGGAACACGGCCCTCTAAAGGCTAATCCATAAAATACTCAATAAAAAGTGTGTGGTGGCCTTTGGTACCTGCAAACACTGCAATAGGGTCTTTAACGATAACAAGTGGGCAAAGCTCTTTCTAAAAAAGGATCCTATCTTAAAGGTACCAGTTGAATCATTTGCCTGGCTCTCAAAGTTCTACAGTCCTGTTAAACGTATAAAGCATAGTTTTGGCTGAGGTACAGTACACTTAGATTTTTAAAAAGGGAGAAAAATTGTAGAATGTTCTTATAGTTTATATTTTATTACAGATTGCACACGTTCAGATGCTTCACTAATCTTACAAAAGCTTGTGCCTTGCAGATACATACAATACTTCGGGATCAGCTTCTGTAACATTATATTTTAAGGAAAAAGCTGCTGCTGTGTACATCAAAAATAAACAGATCTAATTTATTACTTGTTGTGCACCATTAGTGGACATGGCACCTTAAACAGTATAGGTGTGCAAAAACTGTGACTGTCCCATGCGCTCTTTAAATAACGGTTTAGCATTTGTGACCAGTTAAAAATCTCTGTTTGTCATCTTATTGAGATATAGTGTAGCTTAGAGACATAAGGTAAGACTTGGGTATAAAGATTTTTTTAACTGATTAGGATTATTTTAGCTTGCAGAGATGTGCGAGAGTGAGAAGAGTAAGTGATTGAGACATTAAACTGCAGAGATGCTGCTCTGATGCACATTTGACCTTTCCCCAAATACAAGATCAAGAGGCCATATAATGAATTGAAGACAAATGTAAAAGCAATAAAAGGAAATGCATATCCACAGAATGTGGAATCTTGAACTTGCTGCCCCAAGATATTGATGCGAATAGTTCATGAAACTGAGGCGCCCATTTAGAATAATAAAATTGCTATGTGCATTTACACTACTGGGATCAAATTACAAGGTTTATCACAGGTATTTGCTGATTATCAGCTTGAGTCAGGAAGAAGTCTCTCCTCTTGGTATACTGTTGCATAAGTAGGTGCATTGTGGGGAATTTAATGCATTGACTTGAACTGTCAGTCATCTGCCACTGCCCAAATCAAGTTACTGAACTCAGAATTATCAGGCCAGAATAGAGTAATTGTTTCACAGTCTTTGTTTGGACTAAGGTCAGAGTGTTGTATATTAATAAAAATGCAAACAAGTTTGTGGTAGATTGGTCTATAACAGACAGGAAAGAAGTGTGGTTTTACTTCAGGTATGTGACAGTCAGGATATCTGGGTTCTGTTCCCAGCTCTCATAGACTTCCTATGTGACTTTAAACAAGTCCTTTAATCTTCCTCTCTGTCTCCATTTTCATAGTGTGTAAAATAAGGATAATACGTATCTCACAGTGAAGTTATGAAGCTGAATTTTTTATAAGCACATTTTGAGGTATTTAGGTGGAATATATCTATACAGATAAGTAATTTACATTTGTCCAGTGACTTACTACATGTTTTTTTTTTAATTTTGCCATTTAGGCTCAAAGAAGATGGCGCAGGAACACCTTATGACAAAGAGTCAACAGCAATCATAAAACTGAACAATACAACTGTCCTTTATCTAAAGGAGGTGACAAAATTCCTTGCTCTTGTTTGCTTTGTAAGAGAAGAAAGCTTTGAGAGAAAAGGTATTTTTTATTTTTTGGTAGTAATAGATTTTTTACTTTCTAGTGGTATCACAAATATAAAATAAAAGCATATTTTGATATGGCTTACATATCATTGTTCTTAAAAGTATGAGGTGTTTGTGTTGCCACTCAGATAAGATGAAATGATAAATACATTAACAACTTTCCTGTATGAAAGAAAGCCTTACAATCAAATGTCAATGCAATAAGACTTCCATTTATACTAATACAAAAATAATGATTGTTTCAGCACACCCTTACTAACTTTGCATTGCACTTATTGGTATTAGAATATGCAATTGTAATATCTTATCCACACAACCCAAGGGAAAATCATTTGAGTCCTTACTTTTCAATAAGAAAAGACTTGTTTTGTTATTGCCTCTTCAAGATTTTTTTTTAAACTGCATGTTTGGAAACCAGGCAGTTTTCAGGTTTTGTGTATCAGGTACTAAGCTTGTGAGTGACCATTCTGACTCTTGCCAAGGTGAGTATTAACAAATCTAGTTCACTGTCCAGCTGTTCATTGTCCTGTGTGTATTGAGCTTTTGGTCTTAGTCAGATTCCTAGTGGAGAGGTATCTGTGTGTCTCACAATCCACCCTTACTATTGGTTCTAATAACCATACTTGACAGTCTCATAGACTGAGCTGTGAAGAATGAACTATTGTTGTAGCCCTAGAATGCACCTCCTCCCTCCCTCTCAAGATTACTGTACGTAAGCAGGTCAGTATGTAGTAGTCAGCAATACTGGTGCTATCCCTGTTCAGTGAATTGATTAGAGGACTTGTCTCATTTTATGGAATTCCAGTCATAGTGGGTATCTTATCAACATTGAATGATTGATTGGTGTTGGTGTGAATATATAGCTCTAGTATCTTTGGTGTTGTCAAACTGGGATATTTCCTTAGCCCTGAAGCTGGAATTAACTCTTATATTTTTAATATTACAAGTTGTACTAACACTAATAGTCATCAGAGTAACAGCCGTGTTAGTCTGTATTCGCAAAAAGAAAAGGAGTACTTGTGGCACCTTAGAGACTAACCAATTTATTTGAGCATGAGCTTTCGTGAGCTACAGCTCACTTCATCGGATGCATACCGTGGAAACTGCAGCAGATATTATATACACACAGAGATCATGAAACAATACCTCCTCCTACCCCACTGTCCTGCTGGTAATAGCTTATCTAAAAGAGACTGGGAGTGGCTAAGTCATTATGCAAGGTAGCCTATTTCCCCTTGTTTTTTCCTACACCCCCCTCCCCCCCGGACGTTCTGGTTAAACTTGGATTTAAACTTGGAGAGTGGTCAGTTTGGATGAGCTATTGCCAGCAGGAGAGTGAGTTTTGTGTGTGTGTGTGTGTGTGTCCCCCGGGGGGGGAGGGGGGAAAAATGGGGAGGGTGAGAGAGCCTGGATTTGTGCTGGACATGGCCCACCTTGATTACCGTGCACATTGTAGGGAGAGTGGTCACTTTGGATGAGCTATTACCAGCAGGAGAGTGAGTTTGTGTGTGTGGTTTTTGGAGGGGGGTGAGGGGGTGAGAGAACCTGGATTTGTGCAGGAAATGGCCCACCTTGATTATCATGCACATTGTGAAGAGAGTTGTCACTTTGGATGGGCTATTACCAGCAGGAGAGTGAGTTTGTGTGTAGGGGGGTGGAGGGTGAGAAAACCTGGATTTGTGCTGGAAATGGCCCAACTTGATGATCACTTTAGATAAGCTATTACCAGCAGGACAGTGGGGTGGGAGGAGGTATTGTTTCATGATCTCTGTTTGTATATAATATCTGCTGCAGTTTCCACGGTATGCATCCGATGAAGTGAGCTGTAGCTCACGAAAGCTCATGCTCAAATAAATTGGTTAGTCTCTAAGGTGCCACAAGTACTCCTTTTCTTTTTACTAATAGTCATGACATTGTAAAGAACTCCAAAGCAAGTCTGCCAGGCTTAACCCAAATTTTGCTGTACTTGCGCTACTGTGTTAAGACCTTCTCCAGTATATCCTTTTATTATGGTGAATTTTTCTTTAACTATACTGCATTATAGTGTACAAGGAGTGTAATTTTGGGGTGCTTATTGAAAAGGCTACACTTTAGAAAACAAAGCATGTAGTGAACAAACAATGCTTAATAGGTTTGGTGCTAGATCAGGGGAGGGCAAACTACAGCCCATGGCCAGATCCAACCCATCAGGGCTTTGGATCCGGCCTGCAGGATTGCCACCCCCATGACACCACGGGGCTAAGGCAGGTCCCTGCCTACCCAGGCCCAGTGCTGCTCTCAGAAGCGGCCGGCACCTGCGGCTCTGTGCTCTGCCCTCGCCTGCAGGCACCGCCCACGACAGCTCCAATTGGCCGAACCCGCACCCCCTCCTGCACTGCCTGCCTTGAGACCCCTGCCGCACTCCGCACCCCTCCTGCACCCCAACCCCCTGCCCTGAGCCCCCTGCTACACTCCGCGCTCCCTCCCACACCCCTGCCCAAGCCCTACATTCATTGCCCTGCATACAATTTCCCCACCCAGATGTGCCCCTCGGGCCAAAAAGTTTGCCCAGCCTTGTGCTAGATCATTCATTATTTTATATACTTTTATCATGTCCCCTTTTATTCATCTCCTTTCTAACAATCCCATTCTTTTCAATCTCTCTTCATATGAGAGTCTTTCCAGGCTCTTTATCATTTTTTTTCCACTCTTCTCTGAACCTCCACTGGTTCAGCAGTAACCTTTTTGAGATTGGATGACCAGTACTGCACACAGTATTCCAGCTGATACTGCAACATTGATTAATATAAAAAGCATTATAAGATTAACCATCCCATTCCTTATGCAACCTAACATCTTGTTCGTTTTTTTTTAACATATTTGCACACTGATCAGAAGTCTTCTCTGCAGTGATGCCCAGGGCCCACCTGTGAGCTGATCCAGTTAATTTAGAACCCTGTTTGCTCTATGAGAAGTTTTAAATGTTTTCCCTCCAATATATATTACTTAGCATTTATAGACATGGAATGTCATTTGCCATCGTGTTGCCTGTTCACCTACCTTGTTTAGGTCTCTCTGAAGTTCCTTTTAGTCCTACTTGGTCCTGACTAAGGCTATGTCCTGGCTACAGTGGAAGGGGTTTTTCCATCAGTGTAGGTGATTCACTCTCTGAGAGGTGATCGCTAGGTCTCCCGTTGACCTAGCTGCATTTATAGAGGAGGGGGGTTAGATCAACTTAAGTACATTACACATGGCACAAAACTTTTTCCAGCCCTGAGTGATGTGGCTAGGTTGATCTAATTTTTAGGTGTAGACCAGGGCCAAGTTAAATAATTCTGTCACGTGCAAATTTTGCTACCACCTTCTCTCTCCACCGCTTTTGCTTTTCAGATCATTAATAAATATATTAAATAATATGGGAATCTAGTATAGAATCATTAGCTACTACACTGTAAATAATTCTGTTTTAATATTAAATGTGCTTTTGCAGTAAATGAAAAATTGTTGTCCATAAGATTGACTGACTATAGCCCAAGGCCAGTTAAGTGAGTCATTAGTAAATAAAATATGGAAATAACTTAATTTGATATTGTATTTTAATATTGTGTAAAGATTTTAAAATTAAAAAATCTTTTTTTTCCTTTTTGTCTCCCTCTTTTTCTAGGACTAATAGACTATAACTTCCATTGTTTTCGCAAGGCCATACATGAAGTATTTGAAGTGAGAATGAAAGTAGTGAGATCTAGAAAACATCAGAGCCAGATGCAAAAAAATAAGAGAACCACCCCTAATGGCACACCTAGAGCACCACTGTAGCTGAAGTTCTAATGGCATTGTTGACAGCAAGGCTCTTGTTGCACTGACTGAAGGGGAAGAGAAATGGGACTGATGTATTACATGGATTTTCCTCCCAACGCCTCAAAAAAACACTGTTTAAACATTTTTATCCAGTCAGTTTTTTCATATACAGTGAATACTTTGAGCAAAATATTGTATATAAACATTGAGGTGAATATATGTTCTTGTAAGGATTCTCTGAATATATGCTGTAAACTTTTTTTCCAGGTCATATTAAGAAAAATCAGCTGTGACAGAAATGTTGGGTACATAATTTGCACTTTTTTCGTGTTCTCCTCATGGAGTTAAACTTTGATAAACTTAGTTTTTTATGCTGATTTTCATGCATGGTGTCAGGTAAAACGTATAGTGTAGTTTATATACGTGCTACAATCAAATTGTTTACTAAACAATCAAGAAAACTTGATACAATTACTTTTTTAAAATTTATGACAGAATACATAACATTCATACAAATCTAACTTCATATATTTTTTTCAATTTGTAAGTTGAAGAATTCTTATTTTGAAGTATGATAGCAATAAGAGCTTTACCAACTGGTAGGTAAAAATTAGCTTTTGTAAAACAGGCCTTTGGCTAAACTCTACCCAAACTTCTCCATAACACTGGTAATGCCCTCTCAGTTGGGCTTTTTATTATAATTTACCTCAACATATGCTCTAAAATAACTTTCTATAAAGATATTATTTTGTAATACTGCTTTATGTTGCATTGGTGTTTTTATAACATTTCAGGAATAGGGTATGTAACTAAAGAATTTTATTTATATGCTTAGTTTGAGAGTCTGAGCCTCTACAATTGGAGGAAGAAAAAGTCTGTATTTCATTTCTGCCGTACCACTATAATATAATGTTTCAGGTATATTAAAGCATTAGAGAAAAATCCTAATAAAAGTTGCTCATGTTGGGGCCCAGTTCTGCTTGCTTTACTTGGGTCAAATTGTTTCATGGTCTCTGTGTATATAATGTCTTCTGCAGTTTCCACAGTATGCATCCGATGAAGTGAGCTGTAGCTCACGAAAGCTTATGCTCAAATAAATTGGTTAGTCTCTAAGGTGCCACAAGTCCTCCTTTTCTTTTTGCGAATACAGACTAACACGGCTGTTACTCTGAAACCTTTGATTTCAGAGAGAGTTCTTAAGTAAGGACTGAGGAATTGGTCTCTTTTACTCTAATCTACATAGATGTAACTACTTTCTGTTTTAACACTGATCACAGTGGCATATCTGTCCTTGCAGCAATTATGGCACTGCCCACCCCAGAAAGGAGGGCACGGGGAAGTAAAACTTGCCTTCTCAATTCTGTATTAATTTTATAGTTGTAGCTTAAAGAATAGCTCTTCCAAATGAAAGAGCACACAGGGAAGAGCAGCTCCTGTACCCATGCCTCCTATATAGGGCTTATGTGCACATGGCTCTAGAACAGCTGCAAGAGTTCATTGAATAACCTGGTAGCCAGAAAAGATAACGGAGGAGCACTTTTGAAAGTTTCCTTTGTTAAAAAGCACACGTTCAGTTAAAACAAATTGTAATGCTGCACCTTTAATTGTGCATTAGAACCACCAGTATTTTCTGGCTTATGACAGAAATGGAGAGTTTTTACCAACAGCAAACATAGTCATTGAGAGACTTGCTGAATACATACACTGTACTCTTTTATAAGACCATCTTGAAATGTCTTATGCAATTCTTTAGCTTCTGTTACTGTGCCCAACATCAAGGTAGTAGAGTGCCAGCTGATATAAGATGGAAGATACTACTATAACCAGTAGTATCTTCTTTGGGAGTTAATAGTCATGTCAGTGAGTGCTCCCCTGTATTCTCCCCTCCATAGCACTTCCCCAGAAGTGGATTTGGGCCACAGTGTGTGCATATTTGTCTCCCTCTTTTGTTGCAGTGGTGTGTCATGAGTATCGGTCTTCACCACTTCACTTCTCTTAGATGTATCTGATTATGTGGGGCAAGGAACATCTTCAGTGCTGCCCATGTATTGGACCAGACACTTCAAAGAATGCTACTGTTTTTTTCCTGCCACAGAGATGCTGCTGTGGGAACCAGGAGAGGTTAATTAAGATGTCTGGTTTCTTTATGTAAGCATCCACATTTTTCCATTAAACATGCAATCACAGTAACATATTTGTGTCAACTTAGTTAAGCCTTACATTTTACATTATGTTGTGCATTATACTGTAACCAGGATGACTCTTGCAGCTATCATACAAAACTTCCAAATGGATAAAATCAGGGTAAAAATCAAATAATCTTACCTATGTTACAAATAATATGTTGGATTATTAAAGCTGAAAGAACTGAAAGAATGTTAAAATAAAACTACTTTTGTTGTTCACTTTTTGCATTCCTCAGCTTGGATGATGATTCATCTTTCACTTTTGATTAGTCAGTTACTAAAAAAAAGCCTTGTTAGGTACTCTGAAGTGTTTGAGCAGTGAAGCGTAAGGGAGATTTTTTTTTTTTTCAAAAGAACACGGGGTTTCCTTTCTGTTTCTTTAAATTTCATAGTCATTTTACATTTTGTAAAAACAAGCTTTTACATAACCTAATTTAGGGCTGTATTTGAACAGACAGTGCCTCTTTAAAATAAACAGCTTGAATGTCCTTTATATATTTTTTTACTTCCAGCTGCAGGAGTTGGTCAGTGTTAACATACACATTTCCATCAACTTGATTTTGTGGAGTAGGGCTATATAACTAATGCAGTAAGCAGAAGCCCAGAGTACATAAATGCAACTGATAGCAGTGTGATTTCTTTTAAGAAGTTAAAATGTGTCCTGTCTTTCTGGGACTGGGAAGATTTTTAAAGATTAGAATATCAGAATACCTTTCTATAATGCTGTGATTACAGGTACAAAGTGCATTATTGAAGATGTGTGTTCAGCAAGAAGGTGCTTCAGTGATATGTAATTGAAAACATAGTCTCTCAAGAGAAGGGTTGCCAACCCTCCCGGATTGGCCGGGAGTCGTCTGGAATCGGCATCGATCTCCTGGTGACTATTGAAAGCAATCCGGGAGATTTTAATAAATACAGTACAATGAATGACATTACATCGTGTAGAAAAAAAAATCTCCCGGAATAGCTTCAGTCAGAGTTAGCTCAAGAGTTAACTTTTTTTTGTGATGGCACAAAATAGTTTCTAGAAAATATTAAAATTGTGACTTGTATCATGGGGCCTGAAGCTTCATTCTTGTGAGGGGAAAATACTTTGTGAAAAGTTTGAGCCTAATCTGACAAGGTATTATGGGACAAGGTGGGTGAGATAATATCTTTTATTTGACCAACTTCTGTTGATGAGAGACTCAAGCTTACACAAGCTCTTCTGCAGGTTTGGGAAATGTATTTGTGTTGCCAGACCTGAAGAAGAGCTCTGCCTCAGCTCAAAAGCTTGTCTCTTTCACCAACAGAAATTGGTCCACTAAAAGATTTTACCTCACCCACCTTGTCTCTCTAATAGCTTGGGACCAACATGGTTACAACACTGCATAAGGCATTATAGAAACTTGGGGCAGGGAGAAGTCTGCACATTTGCAAGCTTACTAACAATTTTTTAGTTGTGTAGTATCTCAGAAATGACTTGCCGTATAAACCTCAAATCCATTTTTAAGCACTCTCAAAGTAAATCGACTATTTCAATAAATTGAGGAATTAGTAAAGTTAAATAATCCTATACAGGTCACCATGTACGGTATCGATTGTTTGCTTCAGAGAGACAATTCCTGGATTCTTTTCTTTTCCAGATCTTTTAATAGTAATCATTACAGTTGTGTTACATTTTATAGGAGATTTTAAAAAACTTCTCTTTTGCTAGCTAGAGCAAAATGGGAAATGACTGCCTAGGGTAGAATACTGCGGAAAGGGATCTGGGGGGTCATAATGGACCACAGGCTAAATATGAGTCAACAGTGTAATGCTGTTGCAAAAAAAGTGAACATTGTTCTGGGATGTATTAGCAGGAGTGTTGTAAGCAAGACATGAGAAGTAATTCTTTCGCTCTACTTCACGCTGGTTAGGCCTCCACTGGAGTATTGTGTCTAGTTCTGGGTGCCACATTTCAGGAAAGATGTGGACAAATTGGAGAAAGTCCAGAGAAGAGCAACAAAAATGATTAAAGGTCTAGAAAACATGACCTGTGAGGAAGATTGAAAAAATTGTGTTTGTTTAGTCTGGAAAAGAGAAGACTGAGAGGGGACATAACAGTTTTCAAGTACATAAAAGGTTTTTACAAGGAGAAGGGAGAAAAACTGTTCTTGTTAACTTCTTAGGATGGGAAAAGACGCAATGGCCTTAAATTGCAGCAAGAAAGGTTTAGGTTGGACATTAGGAAAAATTTCCTGTCAGGGTGTTTAAGCATTGGAAAAAATTGCCTAGGGAGGTTGTGGAATCTCCATCATTGGAGATTTTTAAGAGCAGGTTGGACAAACAACTGTCGGGCATGGTCTAGATAATACTTAGTCCTGCCATGAGTTCAGGGGACTATACTAGATGACCTCTCAAGATCCCTTCCAGTCCAATGATTCTATACTCTAGAATAGTAACGCCATATGTTCCCCTCACTGAGGAAAGCCTATGAGTATAAGTTTAAAGCTAAGGAAAACTGAGACGTCTTCACATAAGAGAAGGTGACTACAGCATCTTCAGTAGCTTAATCTAGGCCCTGGAGCACTAAATTGTGAACAACTGCAGTATAACCTGAAAAATAGGATGGAAGTGGGGAAGGAACAGGAGACCAACAAGTACACCTAGCATTTTCTCCTTGCAAAGCAGTTATTAGATCCAACAATATTATTAACCAAAATCAGTTCTGGCTATGAAACTCTTATTTCTGCTATCTGCGTTGCTCTGGATACATACCAGAAACATTTGCTATTATTTCCATATCCGGAAGATGTGAAAACTAGAACAGTGAGGGACCTGAAAGCAAGAGCACCCAAATGCAGCCACCCAGTCAGCAGTATGCAGGTCCTAACACAGGCCTTCATCAGCTCCTTCTGTACTTTTGAACCACTATTCAGTTAATTCTCTGGCTACAACCTTGTCCCCTCAATGTGTGTTGTATGTCCATTCCAACTAGGTATCTGTGGTGCAAGTTTCCATGCTATCAAAAGAAATAAGAACAATTTTTAAAAGGAACCCCACAGCATGGTACACCACAGCTTAACACAAGCCATTTGGATGGAGATTGGTAGATTTTTTTTTTCTCCTTCCGTGCTGTTGCTCTATGGAAGATATGAATCTGACTTAGAAATTAGGGATGGAAAAGACCTATCAGGTTATCTTGTCTGTTCTGATCAATATTTCTTACACTATATTCTCTCTTGCTGTGTCCAATCTAGTTCTAAATTGAAAATAAAATGTCTTCCACTGCTAATATTTGAGAAATTGTTTTACAGTTTCATAGACCTCACTAGCAGGAAACTTTTTTTCTGATATTTAACCTAAATGTTCTTATGCTTAGCTTCAACCCTTTTTATAATTCAAACTGATTTAAAACTATGGTGAAAAGGGAAAGCAATACCGTAATTTGATATTATTCCTCCCTCTTTGCAAAAAAAAACAATTTTTTCTTAATTTAGACTTCAGACAATGAAGACTATGCTAAACAACTGAAAGTTCTGCTTCAGCCAATCAAATCAAACAAAGCTGGTTCCTTAGTTCTTTGTTTCATTTGTGCGGTACCACTAATTACAAAATGATTTGGCAAAGCTCTTGGTTTCATTACACTGTAGTTTTAGAATTAAACTCAGTGGAAACACAGTAATCTTTCACCTGGAAAGAAGGTGCTATGTGTGGCGGTTCAATGATGAGACAGAACACAGCTTTATGCAAGCAAGCAGGCTGGTCAGCTGAGATGGGCTGTTCTGCCCCCCGCCTTCCACCTTCTCCTTTTATTATATTTCTCCCCCCTATGCATTATACACTTCTACCGCAAAAAGATACACAAAGGAATGTATGACGTTGATTAATATACTTATTTACCATCTTTTATCTACTACAATCCTGGTTCTCAGGCCTTGAGCCCAGGCTAAGAAAGCTTCCCACAGTCACTGTCCCTTAATCAAGTTCTCATAGTTCATATCTAGCCCTTGTCCTTGGATAGAGCAAAGTGTGCATTGCTTCTACAAAACAGTCAGGGTGTGCCCTGCCTGTTTCCAGGTGGAATAACTAAACATGAACCCTTCAGCTATGCATCTGTATGTATAGTTATTATTGAAGCAGATGTACCAGGTCTGACTTCATAGGACTTCAAAAGCTAAGACTACTAGTTTGTCAGTTGTAACAGTCACAAGAGTGAAATGTCTGCAAGCTGCATCAAAACTTTTAAAAACACCATAATAAAGGCTCAAATTAAATATACCCCAAATTAAAAAAAACAAAAAAAAACCAGAAAGAGGATCAAAAAATGTCACTGTGGCTAAACAACAGAGTAAAAGAAGCGGTTAAAGGCAAAAAAGCATCCTTTAAAAATTAGAAGCCAAATCCTACTGAAGAAAATAGAAAGGTGCATAAACGCTGGCAAGTCAAGTGTAAAAGTATAATTAGGAAGGCCAAAAAAGAATTTGAAGACCAAGTAACAAAACGCTCAAAAACTAACATCAAAAAATGTTTAAGTACATCAGAAGCAGGAAACCTGCCAACCCATCAGTGGGGCCACTGGACATTTGAAGTGCTAAAGGAGCACTCAAGGAAGATAAGGCTATTGCGGAGAAGTTAAATGAATTCTTTACATCGGTCTTCACTGCAGAGAATGCGAAGTAGATACCCACATCTGAGCCATTCTTTTTAGGTGACAAATATGAGGAACTGCCCCACATTGAGTTGTCAATAGAGAAGGTTTGGAACAAATTGATAAACAGTAATAAGTCACCAGACCAGATGGTATTCACCCAAGAGTTCTGAAGGAACTCAAATATGAAACTATGGTATGTAACCTATCACTTAAAGCAGCCACTGTACCAAATGACTAGAGGATAACTAATGTTATGCCAGTTTTTTAAAAAGGCTCCATAGGTGATCCTGGCAATTACAAGCCAGTAAGCTTAACTTCAGTACCTGGAAAACTAGTTGAAACTGTAGTAAAGAACAGAGTTATCAGACATAAAGATGAACACGATTTGTTGGGGAAGAGTCAACACAGCTTTTATAAAGGGAAATCTTGCCTCATCAATCTATTAGAATTCTTTGAGGAGGTCAGCAACCATGTGGACAAGAGTGATCCAGTGGATATAGTGCATTTAGACTTTCAGAAAGCCTTTGGCAAGGTCCCTCACCAAAAGCTATTAAACAAACTAAGCTGTCATGGGATAGGGAAGGTCCTTTTGTGGATCACTAGC